TTAGTTTCGTATTGTATTTTAGGTATCAGTTCAATTAGCTAACCAAATACAATTTTGCAAACTAAAACTAATGATTTAAAGGAATGAACTCGACATGGATTGATATAATACAACTAGCTAAACAATACAACCCACCCAGCACCCTTGTATTTTAACTAAATTAAATTCAGTACCTATTATAAATTATTCATGACGTCAGAGTTTAAGATCACCTAAGTATGTGTATAAAAATATTTCTGACCGTCTGTCAATGGCATTATTTCATTGTTTGAATTTATCATTCATTGGTGGAATTATCATGATTAGATAAATCCTTATTCCAGTGTAATAATATGTGGTTCTAATATGGTATTACGTATAACTGGTATAACATACAATGATACAATTAATTGACCCAAAAATATCAATTCTGTGATGACCCTTATTGTGATCTACTTACTTCGATGTAGCAACGCGTTTTGTGTAAAGGACGTTGGTCTACAAACCTGTGACTACTGGAGTATCCAATGACCCGCATTCAGGCAACATACGATAGATAGGTGTAGGTATTTTATTTTTTTATTTTCTTTATTTATTTGAATATTATGTTGTTATCCCGTAGGAATTTTGATCCATTGAATATGCCGTTTAGTTCAGAATTTTTTTAGTGCAGGCACTCTAAACAATTGAGGGTAGGATATCGTAATACAAGGTAGAGCAATTATGACCGTACAGAGCTCTACCGTGATTAACTACTCGTAACTGTAATTACAGAAAGGGAGGTTCCACATAGAAATAATGACCATCCTCGTAAAATAATTATCGAGCGACGCAATAGACGTAGCAAGATCTATGCTTACAACACTATAAATTCGTTCCGAAAGAGTTAGCCAGAATGTATTATTTATTACTCACCGACTCGTTTTGCTGAAATTTGTCTCGTGGAGTAATTGAAAGGCACGTAGATGGTCTCGTCGAGCGGCCCAGCCAGCGCCGTCGGCAAGGGAGCCGCTGCGCGCACTTCGCTCAGGCACAACACATCCTCATCCTTGCACCGGTCACTTGTAACACTTGAAAATTCACGGGCCACTTCAGGAACTACATCCTCATCCTTATGCAACACTTTCGACTCCTTAGTCTCATACACTAGCTCGCCGAAGCCTTCCAAATTTTCTTGGCACGATTTGTCAGCCACGACCGTAATCGGATACGCCCTCGGCGCCCTTTTGGTCTCCAGAATAAAATCTGCTCGTTCACCCCTGCCCAACTTAATAGATTTAACCTGTTGCGGCTCTATTCGGTGCCCATCCAATGCCACGAGATTCAACGTATGTTGATCGATCGAAAATGTCACAGAACAACTTTTAGATCCGCCGCCGTATGCCAGCCTGAATCGATATCGTTTCCCGTATTCGACGTTGAACTTGGACAGAGGTGCGTCTGGTGATTCAGGTGTTCTGCCTCGTCCGTTAATGAGGAGCGATTCAGCATTGGGGACGTTGGACATCATACCAGCGAGGGGGCCCATGGAGTGTCCCCATTCGGCTATGAAAATCGTATGCTCGGTGGCGTCTACGTCATATAGCTTGCTAAGTGGATCGAGTCGAGGCGATTGGCGTACGACGAACGCTCCAGCGAGTCCGTCAGCGGCGTCAGCTGCTGAATGGGCGTGGTACATATGGGTGCCAACGGCGGAGGCACGGAATTTGTATTGGAAGGTGGTGTACGCCGGTTGGGGACACTGGGTGAGCATGGGAGCTCCGTCCATGAAGGGGGTTTCTTTCTGGGGCTGCCCGCGCCAGTGTATGGAGAGCGCATGGGCGGGCGCACGATGCACGACGTCCACGACGAGGATGTCGTTCTCGCAGACGTGCAGCGCGGGCGCGGGCAGCGCGCGGTTGGCGGACAGGACACCGCGCACGCGCCCGTCCGCTGATATGCACATCGCGGGACAATCGCCACCATCTTTATCTGCACAGCTGCCGCAGGATCTGGAAAACCATATTTTTAAATTTACAAAAGTTGACAACGGTAGGTAGCTAGGTACAATTACATTAAGAAAATACGAGAAGGCGTCACTTTAATCAAAACAAACCTTGAGTCGGAATTACAACCAAGTATTGTTTCAGAAACTAATTTACATTTGTTCAACATCTACTGTCTAGAAAATCTTGAGTACTTACTTGCTTAGTGTTTTGTAAACTTCTATGACTAGTTTTACGCGACATATCATGGGCCAGTCTAGTTCATGACATTCTCGATCGCAGTTTTCGAAGTATTCCTCTGTAAATGAAATAAAATACACAATATTATTTATTTATTTATTTAAAGACTTTATTGCACACATATAAGAATGTTCCGTACAAAAAGGCGAGCTTAATGCCATAAGGCATTCTCTTTGATAAATAAGTTTGCACTTTGAAAGCCAGCGGTTGCGTGTTCGATTCCGCAAAGTTATGAATAGTATTTCAGCATTCACTGGATAAAAACTATAGTAACTAACTAATGGGCTATGAAACCAATTTTAACAAAATACCTTAGGTACTCAAAATATGTACCCAAGTCAAACAATTATTCATAAATATTCATAAATTATAAGTACCTGGCATCGGCGTATAATGAACAACAACAACAACGCCGGCTATAATAACTGACAGCACTAGTATCCTCTGCAAGGACATCAGCATGTAATTAGGTTTCTGCACTGGCACGATCTGTTCCGCCTTTTTTTCGGACTCCATGATTGCGGACTCTTTGGATCGAATTTAAAAAAAAAGAACAGTTTTCCCGCGCAAAGTTACATGTTTGTGTTAACGCGATTGTGGGTCAATGGGCTGAACGCGACCACGCGAGCCGGCCAACAGCTGGGGACTGGTGACTGGTGAATGGCCCCGTGGGCGCTTGATGCAACACTGCACCATCAGACCATGCCGCGGACCCAAACTGGATAAATTCGGAAGTAAATTGCCAACCGAGCTCTCTCTCGGAACCTGACAGTTGCGTCATCTCGCATTATGCAAGCGATGTAAACTCAAGCCTATTTACGAGTTACGTGGCTGAACTAAATACCTAGTTCCATCAATAACATTTGCTTGAAAAGGTTTTATTGTTGTAGAGGTCTCGTAATTACAAACCTTTTAATTATACTATGTTTAGAATGTTATTATGAGTAGGTAAGTAAAGTACCTACATACACTTCCTGTAAAAAATGTTCGTAGGACTACTACAATGCAGTGTTTAAGTTAAGGTTCAGGTACATTATGGTACGTTTGTTTTTAAACTAAAACAAGGAAGTTAGGTTCCTATAAAGAAAATACAGCATTGTCATAACGGTCTAATGGTTAAAGTTGATGTATGTATCTCGGGAGGTTCTGTGTTTGATTCTAGGTGGTATACTTACCTACCTACCAGTATATGTATTGTTCCTAGTTTTGTAAATGTTACGTTGTGTTTTAAAAGGCACGCCTCTGTGCCTCTGTTGTCTAATGGTAAGAACAGCATTCTCAGACCAGAGGTCTCGGTTTCAATTAATTTCTAGTGGGGGGCAGATTGTCTGCTCAATTTGATTGATAATAGGGTTCTAAGAGACGGTCTTATAACCTTACTTAGAGGCTCACAACACAACCACCAGTCAACCTATGTTTGTTTCTATGAACTGAGGTTTGTAGCTACAACAATATAAAGCATTTCTGTTCCACAGTACATAGGATTGCCACTATTCCTCTGTGGATGAGGATACCATGTGAAACTCGCTTCCACCTTCGTCGAGTAGACCATCGCTTTTCAACAGGTGACATACAGACCAAGAGTTTCTCCGTTGTGTGCGGGTGGCTATTTGATAAGGGTAAAAAAAGCCATCACCACTGCCACTACTACGCCGCGCGCTGGCTGGTTTTGAGGCTACAGTTGTTACAAGTAGTAAAGTAAATGAAGGACCGTAACACGCAATACTATGGGTGTTGGACCAAACATCCACATCCTAAGTGAAAACCTAAAGCATTTAAAAGAAAGTAATAAAAAGCTTGTAATAAATACTGCCCTTTATCTAAGGTACTGCCATAAACGATTTATGCTGAAATCGGACCGTTGTCTACTCGCCGACTCTGTGTCAGCAATAATTATTAAGCATTCAATTAGAAAAAAAAATCAATATATCGATTTCTAAATAAATGAAAATCCTTTAAAATTATTAACACTTTTTTGTTATTAGTATGTCGGCGCCGGACACAGATGCTGCAAATGATTATTGATGATTAATAGTACCAATCTTAATATTATGTTATCTGTAGAAATCTGTGGAGCAGAAGGTTTGTGATTCCTAAACGTAACACCCGACTGATGCGCAGAAAAAGGTCAATCAGTTGTGTCATGTCAAGTGTGAGCAGGCGGCTGCGAGGTTATCTTTGAAAGCGTGTTGAGTTTGGTGGAACGTTAAATTGTAGGAAAAGTGGTTATCAACCATCCAAGATATTATCTCCTTGCCCGTTAACCCACGCCAATGGAGATTCCACCCCTAGAGTTCCTTCTGATAGAGACCCAGTGCCTTTAAGTATAAAATAAATTCTTAATATTCATTCCATTTTGTGCTGTTTAGATGACTTTTTTTATACATGGTTTTATTAACTTTATTACTGATTAATGAACTGCAGCAATGCAGAGGCAGGCAGCTAATGAAATCATTATCATGAAGTTATTAGCTAAGTGCAGCCTACCGATTTTTAGTTGGACGATAGTTGGGTCTGGCTGATAATAATCAGTACGGAGAATATGGAGATGTTTGAAAGTGCGCACATTACACCGATTTGATATCGGCCGATTCTTCATACAAATTAAAATCGGGTCCAACTATCGGCCCACTAAAAGTCAGTAGTCTGTGCCTAGGCTTATTGAAATGATAATATCATTTCAAATGAATACGTAAATTCATAATTGAATAGTCATTAAGGAACATCCCTACTGGCAGTCATCCAATTGCAACTTGACAGTTGACTTACTTACTGACATTGACATTGACATCGTAAATAACGAAACTACCTCACATTTAAAAAATATTTTTATTTCATACATAGCAGTTTTTATTTGAAATCGTGTAATTCTGGTTGATAATAATTACCATTTCAAGATGGAAATAACCACCAAAAACTTCTCCGAACAACTTGACGACATAACCAAAAACTTGAAACGTTCATGTTTCGTCGGTTTCGATGCTGAATTCAGTGCGATTTTATCGGGAGAGACCTTTAAACACAGGTATTTGTATGGCCCCTTTACAGTTAAAGCCTAGGAACACTAAGATATAACCTAGGCAGTTTAAGTTTCTGTACTAAAACACATGATCTTCAATATAACTTTAATCACGAACTACGTTGTTACCGGCTATCAACTACACAGGCCAAATAGCCAACCCTCAGACCCAATAATTACTAAAATAATTTAGCAAACAAAATGTGCAAAGATAACCAAATCAATTTAACCTAAATAAAATTGTTCTTGCTAATATTCTTAGAACTAAACCCAAACTCAAAAACTTCAATTTACATTCCAGGTTATTTGACTCAAATGAAGAGAGATATGACAAGTTGAAATCCAAAGTAAACCAGATGATAATGACGCAGATAGGTTTGACGATGTTCCAGTACAATCGGGATATTGATACATACAACGCCGTCTGCTACACATTCCATTTGTGCCCTCAAGTGTTCGGGGATATTGACCAATCATTTATATTCCAAGCATCTACAGTCAAGTTTCTGTGTCGACACAATTTTGACTTCAATAAGGTAAATTCCTTGAAGGTTATTTTCCTTATTTATAATTAGGTTGTTGTTATATATTATCCTTATTATTAACCTGGATTCATCATTTTTATTATCCTTATACATCCATGTTAATTTTATATACTTCAATATTATTTGAAAATGCCACCAAATAAATTATTTTTCTTTCTTTCTTTTTCTGGCATACACATTTTTATAGCCAAAGATTTTTTTATTGGATGCTATACACCTTGTATTAATCTTAATTTACTTGAAAAAAATATGCTCACATGATTATCTCTGTACTTTAATATATCCAAGCTGTATCCATCTGCAATATTGTGTTAATCATCAAGCTACATGCTAAAAGTGAAAAATACTATGTTTATTCTGTATTTACTAATTTCCAGTTCACATATTTTGGTCTTCCATACCTCAGTAAAGCTGAAGAAGAAGTTATAAAGCAGCAACTGGAAGATAACACTCTGTTCCAAAATCTTTCTCGCAGTTTAGAGATTGAGGATGAAAGATTGTTGCAAAGTTGTTGCTCTGAAGTTTCCAAGTAAGCTCCTTTTTGACTAGACATATTTCACTTATATAGTCACTACAAAAGAATGGTATTTTAACTCAGAACCACTGTTTATTCAGTCCCTAATGTCTGCAATACTTAAAAAGTTACAGAACAGTAATATTGTATCTTCAAATAAGTATTGTGAAACATTTTGATAAGACTATTTGGATAATTGAGAATCAAGATGTATTTCATATTGTAATTATGTAAATAAAGGCTATATTCATTTTATTAAAATGGTTCATAGTAAAATATTGTCAATTAAAACCTTCCAGATGGCTTAGCAACAGTGAGGAAGGCACACTGTACCTAGACATCAAGAATCCAGTTCTCCGGTACATCACTCACAACGAAATCAGAATGAGATTCCCAGGTGTGCTGACCACTGATAGCTTAGGTAATAGCAATAAGGTAAATTGATCACTCACACTCAACATTTGCCTAAATTAACACATAGTATCTGCTTGAATTTGGAGGTATTTAAATGATTTGATGCTAATATCATGCCATTTAAATTATTTAATGTCAATATCATATATGATTTTGTTTGTAAATCAATCAATATTCCTTATTTCAGGTACTTATATACAGAGATAAATTGGTGGAAGGTGCCAACAGTGCCCCAAAAACTGTCCTTGAAGAGAATTTGAAAGCGCATTTGTTGGGCTTTTCACAAATCATAGACCTACTAGCTTCATACAAAAAACCTATCATTGGGCATAATATATTTTTGGATACTATACTTCTGCATAATCAGTTTATAGGGCCTTTGCCAAATAAGTACTCAACATTCAAGAAAAACATCCATGAGTTATTTCCCAATATCTATGACACAAAGTATATTTCTCATGAAATGGCAAAAATGTTAACATTTGATGAAGTGTGGAAATCAAATGCACTGCAAGAGTAAGTAGTTTTATTTTTTATATCAAAAGTAATGCAAATGTTTTCTATTATAATCTTAGTTTTTCTATTCAAATGTTTCAGTTTATATGAATTCTTTTCTGAGAGAAAATGCAAGAAGTTAGAACAAGGTGTGAATCCCATAAGATTAAGTATTCCTTTTGCTGTGAAACAGTCGTACCATGAAGCTGGATGGGATTCATATTGTTCAGGTAAGATGACAAAATTCTTTCATAGATTTTGTATTACAATTTAAGACAAATCAATTCACTAACTTTATATCAATTTCAAAACGCCTGTAACCTATATTTACAGTTGATTGACTCTTATAAAGGTAAGTTTATGTGAATGGTAGTACCACTTCACAGGTAAATAAGAAAATTGGCCAAGTGCGTGTCGTGCCACGCGCAGTGTAGGGTTCCGTAGTTGTCCGTCGTTACCACAATATATTTCAGAAGCAAGCAATTACTTCATCTAAAGTCACTTTTCATATTTTCTTCTAAGGATTTTTTACTGATGAAATTGTATAATACATTATAGTCAAATGACTATTACTCTTAAACTAACTGATGTATCTTAACCGTTATAGTTTTCCTTGAAAGTCCATGAAAAGCAGTAATATTACGAGTTTTCCCAGATTTTTCAAGCCAACAGTTCAGTTTTAGAGGGGGGGACGCCCTACTCGAACAAAAATTGGCACTTTAAACTTAAATAATTTGCAAACAGATCCCTAAATGGAATAATAGTCTAAGAAACCCCTAAGCCATTTTAAAAGACCTATCCAACGACAACCCACACGATGGGATAGAAGATGAAAAAAAATTCATCCCCACTTTACATGTAGGGGAGCTACCCTACTATAAGGGTTCCTTGTCAGGACTACGGAACCCTAAAAAAGGCCTTAAACTTATTTTCCACACTTGCTTTATCAATACTAACTCAATCTCAAAGCAGGTAAGATTTTGAACTTTATCTTTATTTTCCTTAGGTCGTCGTCGCTTTTAGACCCGACGGCGCCAGATGAAGGGTTATGTTTTAACTTTCTTTATACCTTATTTCCAGGCTACTGCTTCATCCGACTGGGCCACTGGGCTGCGTGCGTCATCAGCGGCAAAAACCGGCCTGTCGGGCCCCGGGAGACGCTAGCCGCCATGTCTCCTTACTGCAACCGGGCCAACACTATAAGGGGAGCCATGCCCTATGTGGTAAGTATCACAATGACTTCCAGGCTACTGCTACATCCGGCTGGGCCACTGGGCGGCGTGCGTCATCAGCGGCAAGTACCGGTCTGTCGGGCCCTGGGAGACCCTAGCCGCCATGTCGCCTTACTCCAACCGGGCCAACACTATTAGAGAAGCTATGCCTTACATGGTTGGTGTCAAAAGTTGTTAATAGCGAAACAACTCTGCCTGCCTCTCTCTTATCTTTTCACGGTTAATAGATTTCAATCAGAATTAAAGATTGAACCTAGAAGGAAAATATGGTTACCATATTAGCTACCTTTTGTTGAAAAATTAAGTGAAATGAGATCATGAACGTTATAGATCGCAATTCAATGGTAAAGCCGTAAGTAGAAGCTGCCTATTAGTCGACTGATGAAGTGATGATGAAATATAATAAATAAATATATTTTCTACGATCTTGTGAAGGCCGCAGGAAACTACTAAATCCCGGTCCGTGAGCACGTAGAATTTTGTCCAATGACCCGAAGCTACCCATCCTTATCGCTCACGCGTAATTATATTGCTGTCGCGACTGTGCGACTGGCACCCGCAGTGAGTGTGCGAGTACGATAGCAACATAATTACGCGCGAGCGATAAGGATGGGTAGCTTGGGGTCATTGGACAAAATTCTACGTGCTCACGGACCGGGCTTTAGAGGCGTGGAGCGCAGGACCGGTCGTTGTGGAAATCCTTGGGGGAGGTCTACTTTGTCCAGCAGTATACGACACTAGCCTGAAAAGAACAAATGTAACTGCTGTGTCTGCAGTATACTTAATTAATATAAGACTCAAAACTAATTAAATATGCACTGAACTAAACTTAAAAGTTACAATAGTTACGTCACTTCTTTATTTTACTTATATTAGGTATCTTATTTTCAGAATTTCATTGGAGAGGATCCCAAGTCCCACCGTCCCAACGTACTACACATCAAGGCTTTGAAAGACCGAGTTATCAACGTGGGACAGGTAATTTGACTAATTTGCTTGTAAAACAGTAATTCACAGTCAACATAATATCGCTAAACTTACCTACTTTACTTCCTATATCGCTGTCCAAAAGCATGCCAATATATTAATACAGAAAAACACCAACCATGAAGTCATCAAGATAATTAAACCGGTTTATAAAGAAACGTATTTTATAGCGTGCCTTCCCGACGTTATAGATTTGCAGACTAATCCAGACAATGATTTATTCCGATCGAAATATTTATTTCTGGTCAGCTGTTTTATTGTGTCAGTTGTCGACTCTGGCGATAAAACCTGCACGGAGTTTATTGCCGTACAACGCTGGATGGTAATGCAGCCGTTTGTGAGACGTATCGTGTAAACCCAAACGCGACAATAACAAAGTTCGCCGGTAACCTGGTTCAAAGGCAGTTGCATAACGAGCCAAACAGAGCGCTATTTTTGTCGCAATCGTAAACACTGGGACCATCCGCGTTGTCTCAATCCTCGGTGCCAAAATTAGCGTCCATATGTTACGGAACAGTTATGGTAGTAATAATTGTCACCTCGCCCGGTGGAGTGATGTTCGCTTGTTTTCCTGGTTGTACACGAGCGCTGGGAGTCGGAGATTTTAGTTGGGAGCTTGTATGTGACTTGTTGTAAGCCGCGCCAGTAGAACCTGACAATTTTGTAAATATCGATGATAAAAATCTACTCAAACCGGTGGAACCGTCTCAGTATCCTTCATATTAGTTTTTTTTGCAATCGAAAATTATGAAATAAAATTTCTAGACACTAAACTAAATAACTTGCTGTGCAACTCACTATCCCTGAAGCTATGCGGCGACTGAAGCGACGGCACATTCTGGATATTGAGAGCCAGAATTAATCATAGAGGGAGTCTCAGTGGGGATTCTGCTCTCATCGCTTTTAATCACAGGAAAAATCTGCTCATAGTCTTCTGACTGATCGCATGATAGAGGAAAAAAAAGACACTAAAACTGCTCGGTTTTAATGTTGTTCGGCTTTATTTGTTACAAAAATTGTAAGGCTCCATTGGTGCTGACATAGACACAGTGGTTCCTCCCCGGGCCCAGTTGGAAAACGGCTCACTCTTGGCGGCTTGCCAGCCGAGCGACTCACGCACACAAGTGCACGACACCCACACAAATACCGCGCCTTGTGCACATTTCCCGTTGCTAGTTAAAACAGATTGATAATGCCCAAGTGTCACAGGCGGAAAACTTTATTTTTAAGTCGGGCTATTTTTTAAGCAGCCACCGGTATTTGATTTCTGAAACGTCTGAAAACCCATTTTTCATGCCACTGTCAAGGTTGATTTAAGGTTAGGTTATAAATACGACAACCCCAGTGCACATGTTGCGTCGATAGAGACGTTACTTTGGGCCATATTGGAAGTGACAATGACTGATCACTACGTATTATAGTTAAGTCTGTCCTATTAGTATTGACTCCGAAATTAATGGTTAGAGATGTTATATTACGCTTGTAGACTTACGACAAATATTATCTTGTATGAATATACCTGTAGAAACCTATTAAATGCTGCTAGATTTAATTAAAAACTATTTAATTTTCCTAGGTGGCGAGCACGCTTGCAAATTTCGGCAACATAGACATCAAGCCTTACGGCAGCCGGACTGCCCTCATAGCGACGAGTACGCAGTATACGTAAGTATCCTTTTAAAAAAAATCTGTAATTCAAGATGTCTAGATCCTTTAATCTTAACTTAAAAGCTTCAATGAATGTTTCCTATTCTCCCCCTGCATCAAACATCAAGGTCTGCAGGTGAATTACAAGTAAAGAGCATAACAAAGTTTTTGCGGTAGTGGAAGGATTAAATGTGACGTAAGAAAGTCACTGCTGACATTTTGACGTCACAAAAACACCTCTCACCGCTCCACTACCGTAGAAAACCTGTAACATGACGTATTTTGTCACAGACACCCGTCGCAAGAAACATTCCAGTCGACATAAAATAAAACCATTAATTTAGTATTGATTACGTTTTGAGATACCGTTCCGAGCACAACAAACTTGTTAAAGCAAATAATAGTTGTAATTAAAATCCAATGTTCCGTGCCAATATAAACACCCACGATTTTAACGGCATATGTACCGTGTTTATTCTTGTGGGTAACTAGTAAAAAGCATACAATATCGAATTAGCAATATTAACGTGACGTTTTGGCAAGCGATTTGAAACCTTTAATATCCTGAGAATTTTATGCAAAAAGGGTTAAGTTACAAGTTTGCTTCTCGACTTTTTTAACTATAATAACTCAATAATAAATTCTAAGTAACTAGCCTGGCCGCAGACCACCGACTTTTCGTTGGTCGATAGTTCTAATTTGTATGAGGAATCGGCCAATACCAAATCTGTGTAGTGTTCGCACTTCCATGCATGCCCAATTGCCCATTGCCCATACTGATTAATTGCCCGACTTAACTATCGGCTGACAAAAAATCGGTCTCTGTGGTGGCTTACTACTACTATTATATGAAAGTACATATAAAAAACTTGTATTGGATAAATTAACAGAAGGCATAATTGTTTGAATGTGTGGACTAGGTTACGTTATATTTGTTTTTCTTTAATTATAGCTTCTCAACATACTTATAATTAAGTACTCGTATAGTAATATGTGGTTAACTATGTTGGTTTCACAATTATCTAAGTCAGAATTGTATATAGCTAATAAGCATTCATTGTGTAAGCTGTTTGTTGACCCCAATAAATGAAAAAAAAAAAAAAAAAAAAGTAGCTACAAAATCGGTCTCTGTGGTGGCTTACTACTACTATTATATGAAAGTAGCTACATAATAATATATGAAGTACCTATAGTGAAGTGCAAATCTCCAATCTTCTACACTCTCAAAATCTAGCCAGGTTAACTCCCTAGGAATCGTACATTTATAGTTTCTGGACTAATAGTCCCAAAACTATAAAATCTTACGCTATACTTGTGTACGTTCTGAGTCGTTTCACTTCTAATACTTACCGAAATCTGTTATTACAGCAAACATTCGCAGCAATCATATTTTGCAGTAAAACTCCGCCAAAGTAAACTGCACTTTAGTTTATGACTTTGAAGCATAATAAATCTAATATAGGTTTTTGTTATTTCCCATTGATCTTTTTTATTCATGAAGTGAGTGCACTGATTGATATCTGTTATGAAAGTGGAAGTATTGTTTAGACTTCTCACGTGTTTAGGAATAACATTTATCGTTGCAGACTTATTTTGACGAGATATAGTATTGAATGTCGTAATATTATTGTTGTGTAAGGATTTTGATTTCATGTGATTTTTACTGGTATTTATTTCCAGAGATTTTTAGTTAAATAAGTTCAATAAAAATTATTGATATTGACCAAGCTTCTAATTAAAAAAGCGTGCTAAATCAAAACCTCAGTAGAATAAGTGTCTGGTCTTGCGAATCGCTATGTCCAAGTCTTGTTCGGAAACTATCTGTATCAACCATGATACCTTAATCATGTCATAAAACGAACATCTAATTCACATTTACTTTTTCCAGGGCGGATAAAATCCTGAAGCAATTCAAAAACAGCCGCGAGTACAGGATCTCTGAGTTCAGCGTATACAAACACAGCGTGGCCAGCCGGGTGGCGATGTGGTATGGCTCCCTTTAATGAGGGCTATCGTTTTTATACTTAACAGTTGGCAGCCCTGGCGATTGACAGGACCTTACTCTACAGTGGCGCCATCTTGATGAGTGCATATACGATAGTCCTCCTACCACTTTCGCGCTCACCAGTTGGTGCCACTGACTGTCTTCGCTACTAGCAAGTGACAGGACCTTACTCTACAGTGGCGCTAACTGGTGAGCGCTAAAACGATAGCCCTCATTATGTCTACGTTTAATGTAGCTATGAAGCTGAAATCATGAAAAAAATAGAGTTATAACTCTTGTAGCTGTACATCCAACAGTAGTGTACTGTCTGATGATGGTAGCAAAAAAGTACCTACACTTTTTAAAGAATGGATGCCTAAGGCGAAGTATGGAGTCTGACACCAGAGTTGTGACCTCAGTTAAAACTAACACGAGTTTTCTTTTACATAAGTATTTACGTATTCACGATGCTCTCGAGTACATGTTTTGTTGAAACTTTGAACCAACACGATTTGGAATAAAAATTTTTGCTCTCGAGTATTATAAATTCTACTTCGGAAAAAATGTTAAAAATTTGGCTCAGTGCATCTTTATAGAAAGTTATGTCCATTGGCAAAAGACGGTGATTTTTAACAAAATTATTTGTACTAACTGCGCGAATATTTTTCGCTCGCTAATCCTTATTGGACTCGCTTTATTGAACTTGTGCGTGCGCCAATAAGGTGATGAGGGCTTTATCACCGAATGAAAAAAAATATCAGCATGTAAAAGAGAATTTATATCCTTGTTTTTTTTACATTTACCTACACTTATTATCCTTGTTTTTTTACATTTACACACATTTGCACAAATGGCTGCTTAGTTTTAAACTTTTTATTCCTATGTTTCTCATCTCATTCTCTTAACATTGGGCCATGGAAATGGTCCAAGATTAATAGGAATACTTACCATAGAATGACGGACTGTTGTACGCTGCCATTTCAGGTTTGAATCCCACCAATTTCAAATTTTAGGAAACTGAGCTTGTGCATTAATTATGCAGTAATATTTTTATGCTGATAAAAATCTTTATTTTCAGGAGCGGCGCCATACTCACGGGAAGTTTGATGTTATATTTTTTCCATAGAAAGATGAAATAAGTAGTTTAAATACTGTTATGTTATAAGTCTGAGTAACAGCTTCCAAATACAATAAATGTTACTCTGATTATAATTATGTTAATTAGCACAAAGTGACTAACTAGTAGTTAATAAAGAACTTGTTACTTGTTAAGAATTAAACCTCGTGCCAGTACTTATGTACAAACTCATAGACTGATTATTGTTTTGTAGGATCAATCGATTTAAGCAAAGAATATATGAATCAGTTGCAATATAAAATAGATTATATTATGTTTAAACATAGTTGTATACAAATAAAGTATCTATGCTCAATAAAAGCAATATAATACGTGTAATAAAGACGCTTTACGCAAACGAAATGTTTTTCTTTGAACCTTCATTATAATATAAATTAACAGATAACCGCCAAATTATATATCGCATTCGCTTTGTTACCCGGGATAAAACGGAAGGTAAACCTGTCACAATGATTTATGAATTTACAGTCGTTACTATGAATTCCGGAGAACGTTTGTTGCCGTCGCCCGTCGGATTTAAAAATAACGGCTTTTAATAGCTCCCATCAATCGTGCCCGACGCTGATGTATAAAAAATGTATTTAGTCCACTTAATCATTGTTTTTCACCAGACAATAGATAGACTAAACATCGGGACCTGTCAGGAAGCTCTCTGGAACACTCAAAATGTTTTTGTTATGTTCGCAAAAAACTTTTAGTATTTGAGTTGCATTCCATAAGCAAGTATGGTTAGCGACTCTGTGAGATTAATAACAGATGCTAGAAATTTTATGTTTGAAAATTTTTCACTGATTGATATAAACAACACGGCACGGCCATCTAGTCCCAAATGAATCAAAATGTAGGCTACGTAGTTATTAAACAGCAGATACAATCGCATACATATTAGGTACATAGAAAGCACATACAGACACGACTGGTACTAAACCTGTGACTTCTAACATACGAACTACCAGGCCAAATTCAAGAGATGCATGAAGAGGCAAATGCTCCTTTCGGTAATCTTTACTACAGCTAGATAGCTTCCTCACTCCATTTGCTATGTGTACATTACACCATGTTTGTGGCAGTTCAGAATCGACGCTTACATTCATCAAACATGATCGACTGCGCGCACGACAGCTGACGCGCGTGATTTACCTACGCTCATTTGCACGACTCACTCATTCCCGGAACGGCGCTAAAACCAGCTATGGATTTCCACCACTAATTAACAAGGTTTATTTAGCTCAGATTTAGCCGTTTGTTATTGTAATAACTAACTCAGATGCAAGTTATTCCTGCAAATAGAGCCCAGCCATTGTAATAATAGCCCCAGCTAAAATATCACTGTCTTCAGATAAGTTAGTACGAATTAAATGCGTTAATATGATCCGTGCTGCAAGCTGCAACGTAAACCACTTCAATTGTTTAACCATTCCATCTTCAAAGGCTTTTGCTCACCTTGTTTCTTTCGTTCCAGAAATAAATCCACTTAATTACCTCTACAAACCAACGACGGATTTATCTGCTTCTTAAAATACCCACTCAAGAACAAAAGGACGGCAATTAACTAGCGTGTCTGTGTACCTCTCTACATCAATATTGCTTTACTAAATCCGTCTCATTAAACATTCAAACATTTTGAAATTTCTTCAAATCTACTTAATTGTAGGCCGCTAAGAATTTTATGAAGTGGGTTCAAAAAAATAAATGAGAATGAAAAACACATAAATATTTTGTACCACTTCAGGGCAAGGCGCTCGGCTAATATATTTGAATAAAATAAACACTCGCCCACTGGCTCCTTCGGGTAAGAGTTATCATTATTTGTTGTGAGACCGACGTGTCTTCGCAGTGAGTCTAAAGGGCTCTCTTGTTCTACAAATGCCAAACAATTTTGGAAAACTAGCCTTAAAGTAGTCGCAACGTGTTCGATTACACTGGTAGTTCATTTCATTTCAGCCCTTAGATAAATCAGCCCGTCAGCCATGATCAGCCGACTCGGTCCACTGCTAGACAGTCTTTCTCCTTTTCTTTTGCGTCATAGAGCCCAATATTGGTTCAAGTCCTGAAAGGTTTAGTCTAACGTAGCTGTCTTGATGGAGGGCGCTCTACGCTTAAGTTTTCCATAAGGCGCTCTCCGCTCTACAATTAAGTAGCCGACCACTCCATTTACCAATGGATTTACCTCTACATCAAATACGACCAACCAATTTTATCTATCCCAAAGATTATTTCGCTATATCGGGTGGCCATTGGCAGGCAAAAGCATAAGTTCATTTATTAGTTTATCTGTAAATAGATATTGTAATTTCAACGGCCATAAAGCAACATAGTCGCTTGCACAGTTTCCGCGTGGTTGTTCAGCCAAGCCTTGTAGTAGTTCGAGAAAGCAACTGTTGCGGCAGGCAATAAATTTTGGCGTTAGTGAAGAGCAAGTCTTGCTTACGATTATCGATATCGCTGAAAGATTTTAAAGAGAAAGTACGAGTAGGGGCATAATTATTACTTATTGAGGCCTGTGACAATCCTTGTTCGATCAATTCAAGTTCTAAGTAGTAGATACGAGGGGCGGCTGAAAAGTTTTGAGCCTAAGGTATTAAAAATGCCGATAGAAAAGTATAAAAAATATATTTTTCTATTTAATCTCCCTCTACTAAAACGCACTTCTTACATTTGTGTAAAAGAGCTAAAAGCTCTAAAAAAAATCCACTGAAAAAAAATTCGCAAACTTTGCCTTCGAAATGATCCTCTAACGACGCCTTCATTTCTTTGTCACTCAAAAATCTTCGTTCCTGGAGGTCCTTTTTCCAAATTGAGAATTAGAAAAAAAAGCTAAGGATTTGGACTAAACTGTGTGGTAGGTGATTAATTTCTTGAAATCCAGTTTTACCCGGGGCAAGCCTTGCAACATGCGCGGTGTGCACGGGCGAATTGTCTGGCAATAACAGATTTCATTTCGCCAGTTTACCTCTTATTATTTCGACAACCACTTGACGCACTCTTATCAACAGTACAGTAAAATAATCCCCGTTTATTGTAGTTTTTTTTAAGTAGGTAGTCAATGAATAAATTCCTCCACAATCCCAAAAATAGTGGCTCGGATCGCTCCACTTTGAATTTCCGCGGCGGCGTTTTCCCTTTTCAATCCATTGCATTGACTCTTGTTTTGACTCTAAATCGTACTGCTGAATTTATTATTTATCAATAGTGACAATGTGAGAAAAAAANGGAGCACTATAGCACTGCCACAAAAAACTGTACAGAGAAGGCACCTCCTTTTGGATTTGGGTCAACAAAACGCCCCTATCGACCGAATTGAAGGCGTTTTTTACGTCAACTTTTAATATGATATCTGTTGGCCGAAAATTTAAAAAGGAGCGGACGGCATGTATTGCTGCTTCGCAACCCCCAGCAACTCCAAAGCCGAGTTGTGTAGGCTGGAAGAGATTGCTAAGGGTACCCGAAACTGCTTTGCAGCAGATTTTGGCAGTGAGCCGACGATAGGTCGTGCCCACTGCAATTGGCCTTATGCCACCGTCTTTTTTTTTTAGGGCGCAAAGATTAAAATTTGCTCCATAAATAATTTCAGTAATAGTATGTGGAACCTGACCAGCCAGCATGACGTTAACTAGAGAAGTTAAAGCTCCAAGAAGCGCAACACTAGCCTCACCAGGGGCATTTAACAAGTCCTTGATGTGTTGAGCCGAGAGGCCATCCAGCCCAGCAGCTGTACCACTCCGGAAGCCATTAATNTATTAGGCTCAAAACTTTTCAGCCGCCCCTCGTAAGTCAATCAAACTGAATATTTTTTCTGGTTCTTGTGAATTTCAGCAAAACTGATGGCTACCTACTTTGAAGTACCATCTTTCCTAATAGACCTTTTCATGTGTTTATTCGTGCTCACTGAAGCTCGTATCACACCAATCGTTGTAAGTATTAGCCATAATAGTAATGTCTATCATACTTTAATTTTCTTTATTTTCTTCAACGATAGCGGAATGGCATCACTAGGTCCTGCACGCATCATTACGAACATTGTAATTTGCTCGCAAATGAACAACAACGCGTCGTTCATATAATCCGCTCGCTTGTTTTATGTGTAATTGTAAAATATATTTCCACCATCGAGAACGTTAATTGCCTTAAGATTTTAACTAATTTTCTTACTTTGTGATGATAATAGTTTACTTGCAGGATATGTTGTCAAATCATCAACTCGCAATACATGTTTCACCAAACATTGAATTTACTCTAATTTCTTGTTTTATTTTTTTTTTCTCACAAACAAAGCAGTAAACATTTAATGCTTGTTAAATGTATGTACCGCTACTGCACGTAACACATCCTCAATGTTCCTCTATCTTCACCCACCTTATATTACTGTAGTTTACCTAGGTACTTACATAGACTACTTGTAACACCTACTGCAAAAAAAAAACTAAATTCAAAATTTATTTATTCTCATAAACTGTATGTAAACCTGTGTTCGCATATAAAAATAATTTGATTTGATTTGACAATTTATTATATCAATATTATACCTACTTATGTTTAACTTATTGCTCAACCAGCTGAACATTTTGGATTCAAAGCCACTACTGTAAAAAAAATTAAAGTTGTGCAAAATTACTAACCATCTGGATTTGCACAGGTCTTGGGACTGACTGACGTTGACTTTTAAAAGAATAGCAACGTAGAACTTTCGAAATAATATATTAATTTAAGACATAGAAACAAAGTTCCTGGCTTTTTCTTAAAAAAAAGATTAACTACTACTTATCTTAAAAAAACAAACAGTAAATTACGTTACTCAACCAATTTTCAAATTTTCTTTGATGACTCACATTCCTTCAAACCCACACGAAAATATATGAACTTTGTACCTAGGCACAATATATTTTCTTCAGTGGTTTTCAGTGGGAATATTTTTTGTGGTACTCAATCACCGATTCTTTATAAATGCAATGTCGTACATTACATGTCCAATTCACGTGCGAGAGCAACTGCATGCAATATGTTACACCGTAATCCGGATCTGGCATAAAAATATGTAAGCACCATCTGTCGTAAGAACAGGCTGTCTGATCGGTATCCAAAGAACATGGTCACGAGACGTCGTAATAAATGGGAATCGTCACACTCGTCCTTCCCTTGCAACCGAGACCTATTGTTCACGTGTCTGTCCGACTGAAAAATCTAGTCTATTTCATTTCTTTGGCAACCATCGTCGTCAAGTACCTAGGTATACTATTTTGATACGTGTGGGCGCG